GCGGTAGATGGGTTTATGGTGGTCTCGGCAAGCGAGGCCATGGTGGTCTCGGCCAGTGAGGCCATGGTGGTCTCGGGCAGCGAGGCCATGTGGTCTCGGCAACAGTGGTCTCGGCAACGGTGGTCTTGGCAACGGTGGTCTCGGCAATAGTGGTCTCGGCAACAGTGGTCTCAGCAACAGTGGTCTCGGCAACGGTGGTCTCGGCAACGGTGGTCTCGGCAACAGTGCTAGGTCATGCAGTGTATACCAGGGCTTTGTCCGTGAGTTGTGCAATGTGACTACCTCAACAGGCCTTTAGTGCGGGTCCTGGTAGATTTTGACGGCATGTTCTCATGACTCGGGTAGCGAGCGGTGGTGAACCACGGACACGAGGTTCCACCGGAACCATCGGGGCAACAAAGAAAGGAAACCTGCGATCCATGATGCGGCGATCAATACCACGTGGTCCAATTACGGCTTGGGGCTCATGATGAGGTCATGGTAACTCTTCGCCAGCGGCATGGCTTGGCCACGACAGGTTTCTGAGCGACAAGTCCTTTCCGGTGTCTCCTACACCATGGATCTGTTTGGCCAAATCCGATCTCGTGCTAGTGAGTGTGGGCATGTCTAGGAGTGGTAGAGCTCCGTCATTATCGTCGAGAGGCGGCGATCAAGGCTTGACTCAATCGGGCGTGGTTCACGGAGGGACGAGACATGGCTTTAGAGAATGCTTCAATGGTGGTCGGCAACCACACGGTGTTCTTGGACTCCGGTGGTTCGATTTGACTTAGGTTAGTCACGTGTGTGTGTGCTTGTGTGTCCAAAGGCGGAGGTGGCCTTGGTCTCTGGCGTTCCATGGTTGGAGCACGCCATGGCGATAAGCAATGTCGGGATTTAAAAGAGGGGGCATGGTGGTGGCTCACCGAGGTTTGTCGAAGTGGGAGAACATGACCCACGTTGCTCGGTATCGTGATCTTGGCGGACTTGTGGTTGGTCGCACCGGTGATCGAATCCTATGACTTGGCTCATCCGAAAGTGATCGGGCGGCGAAGATGTAGCACCTAATCGAAGCACTTGGAAAATAATTCGAGGTACAAGAGATGAACACGCGTAATAGATAGATTGGCATGAAGGAAATGGAACAAAGAAGTAGACCGGCGGCAAAGGCACGGCACATGCATAGAATAAATAAAGATCATGATCATGTATAGGCAATGGATATTGATAGATCAAATAACAATGTAGATAAATGATATTGATGATCAAGGTCAACAAGTACAAAAGAACATGGAAAAGAAAGGCAAGGGTTTTAGGCGTTGGTGGCTCACCGGTTTTGTTCGGGCAAAACCACGGATTAGCGGGGAGGTGCTTTGCGAGCAGCGACCATGTATCGTCCTTTGCTTTCGAGCGAGGAGATGAGAGCACAACATTGCGGTAGCATGGATTCGATGAAGACAAGGCATTGCGATATCGCTTATGCTTATCGTGGCCAAGATGGGGTTGAGGCTTGGCACGACCATGGCCTAGTGGTGGCGCTCGGCATGGTGTAGCGAGGCGTGAGGCCGATAAGGTCGAGTCGCAGACTCGGTCGTGGTTCCATGTCGGCGAGGGCACGTCGTGGTCGGCTTCATGGTCGAGGGCGACATCGGTGGTCGTGGTGTGCGGCTCTCTGTGGCGGTTAACGCTGTGTCGCGCCTGTCGAAGCCCTCGCGGTGGTGGCGGTACCATGTGAGGAGCCCAACACGGTGCAGCTCACGGAGATGGGTACTACGAGAGGCGGGGCATAGAGGCCGGTGGCGTGGTTGGCGTGGCTTCGGCGAAGGAGAGGAAGGCGGCGGTGGCTCATGGCGGCGAGCGGTGATGCGTGGCGTGGCATGTCGACGCCATAGCCATCGCCCGGTCGTCTTGCACCGCCGCGGCGAGGACGAGACGCAACATAGGTAGGGAGGATGATGGCGTTTATGATGAGAAAAAGGCGAGGCTTATGCATCATGGTGAGGTGCTCGGTGTGGTGGAACATGGCGTGGCGGATCGGCTTGGAAGCGATGACCGTGCGAGAGGCCGTGGGCGAGGCGCGGCAGCGCGAAGCGGCGGGTGGCGCAGAGAGGAGGGCGGCGAAGGGTGCTACAAGGCCTCTTTGCTTCCTGCGAAGTGAAGGATTGTGGCACGAAGGCCGGGCTCAAAGACGAGTAGCACGGGAAGGGAAAAGATGGGGTCTTGGGCTTTGGGTGCTCACCGAGGTCGAGGCGGACGGTGGCAGCGCTTGGCTCGGCGCTAGAGCGGCGAACCGTCCACGGCGAGTCATATGGCTGCCCGACGTGGTGGCGCGGCGCAACCCAGCTTGATGGTGGCATCGTTACAGCCTTGGCAGCGGCCGCTCGAGGGCTAAGCGGGCTCGGCGCCGAGGTTGCGACAGTGCTCCAGCGCGTGGGCACAATGATGATGGCGTGGAAACGGCAAGCGTGGCGTGGCTCTTTCTCGAAAAGCTCAAGCGACGATCTCTTTGTGGGGCTCGAGGCGGGCGATGGGAGAAGAGGGCGGCGTGGATGGGGAATGGAGAAGGAGCGGCGGGCGTGTGGCTTTATAGCGGCCGATGCTAGGGTTTGGCGGTCGGCTCGGCGTCGTCGCCGTTGATGTGACGGCCGGGACCACGCTGCACGAATCGGCGAAGCGGTGAATGCAGACGTCGAGTGGTGCCTAGACGCCGCTGGCTGCCTTCCTTGTGGCTGCTGCGGCGGCTGGGAAGCGGCTTGCTTTCGCGCTGGAGGCCGGTACGCCCTAAGGTTGGCAAAGCGTCGACCAGCCCAGGCGGTGGGCAGCAACTTCTTTGGGCCGGCCATTGGGCTATCTTGGTTGGGCCAGGCAGGGCTTGGTGGGGCGGGCGAAAGGAGGAGAGAGGCGGGCGGTGGCCCGGTGCTAAATTGGGCCAGTGAAATTTCTTCTTATTCTTCTTTGCTTTGCCGCCCGTGGGCCCGAGAAGGGAGGAGCCAAGTTAAATGGTTCGGTTGGTTAATGATCCGGCCAATATAGCCTTCACCTTTCTTTCCTATTTCCTTTACTCTTTTCCATTTCAAATATTGCTTGATTAATTCCATAATCAAGTGTTTGTATGCTAAACTTATTTAGCTTAGGTGTGGGCCCACTTGGGTAATATCCAAGGGTCTCTAGGGTTTACTACGGGTCTCGGAATCCAATGCCAAGGGTTGGCTTCGATGGGCATTGATTTACAAGGAAGGTCAATAGACTTTACAAATTAGATCAAGGGATTCGAATGAGGTTCAAAAGCAAGAAGATGATTTGAGAGAGGAAAAGGGATTCATAAGATATTCCAGAAGGGATCAAAAGGATTTGCTACGGACTTGTGCTCTCCAACACAAAACCCTAAACCAACAAAGGAACTCTGGCAAACTCCTACAAGTAATTCTATATGCACGCAATAATTTATTTATAAATTGTTCTTAGTTTGACCTAACATCTACTTGCTTCATACATTGCAGGATTTTTTTTAAAAGTTCGTATTTTTGGCTTCTCCAAAAACCCAGGTTGTTACAATGGCCACATGGCAGCACGCGGATCTGGGTGCGTCGTCAATGTTGGCAGCATGGTGTCGCAGACGAGGAAGGCCATGGATGCCGGCGTCTTCGCCAGGCACATGGCGCGCAAGTCCGTGACTCGGTCACGGACGTCGATGGCCACCACACGGCAGCCGAGAGCCATGAAGGCATGTCAGTACTCGTACCAGATCCCACCCTTGGCGCACCCTGTGATGATCACCACTGGCTGCTTGCTGTCCTACTGCTACTGGCCGACGTTGTCGCCGGTCGCCATGGGGTGGGGTGCGAGAGGCATAGGAGCCATGGCAAAGTGACAAGCTTCGACTTGGAGCATGTCACGAAGAGAAGAGTGATTTAGTTCTCAAAGTTGCATTACTTGATTCTGCGAAGGGTTTTAGTAAAGGAACATATCTAGTGCAAACCAACCTCTTCGTGTAAACCGTGCAAACCAACTACAAGGGAGAGGTGGGAGGGGGGATTTACAAAAGTGTAATTACGCCCGCTCCTAATTACACTTTTGCAAATCCCCCCTCCCATCTCTTCCTCGCAGTTGGTTTGCACAGTTTGCACAAAGAGGTTGGTTTGCATTTGATACATTGCCTCTAGTAAAAGCCATTTATATATGCAAGAGAAGGATGGAGTGATCAAATTGTGTTAGTTCATTAGTTTATAAAAAGTGTCATGCATCATAAACAATGATTTGGAATAGAATTTAAATTCTTATTTTTCCCGGTGCACACGGGCTTAGCGCGGGCGTAGGTGCATCTGACTGACGGATAAGCAACGCAACACGCCACTGAGAAGAAGTATTTCTGCAAAGAAAGAGCTACTGCTTTTTTTTCCTATAAAATTGAATGATTTGTGCGAAATTGCCATGTGATTATAGTGAAGTTCCTGAGTTTCAGACGGACCGATCCAGGAGAAACTATCCAAACTTCCCAGACTTGTCTCCTATAAGTCTAACCAATAAAAGACGTATGCGTGATATACACTTAACAATCTTCCAATTCTCCCAGACTGGGGCTTGTTTAGATTAAAAAATTTTTTTAACCCGATGAATAGTAGCACTTTCGTCTTATTTGGTAAATATTGTCCAATCGTAGACCAACTAAGCTCAAAAAATTCATCTCGTGATTTTCAACTAAACTGTGCAATTAGTTATTTTTTTTACCTACATTTAATGCTCAATGCAAATGGCTAAAAATTGATGTGATGGAGAGAGAGTGAAAAAACTTGAAATTTTGAGTGTATGTAAACAAGGCCTGGTAAAAGATCTTCCTAGTCGCACGCACACACGTGAGGCTGACCATCGTCGACGGCGGTCAAGTTTCTTGCTGCGCACGTGCATGCATGTCACGTCAGGGAACTTGAAGAGTACGTATATGTTCTCGTCCACGTACTATATACTTGGAGCCAGCTAATCGAGGCACCGCATGCTCACTCGAACAAGCTCTACCCAAATCTGAAATGTCCATGGAATCCGTTGCCGTCGTGGCGGTGCCGTTCCCGGCGCAGGGCCACCTCAACGGCATGCTGCACATGTCGCTGCTGCTCGCGTCCCGGGGGCTCGCCGTGCACTACGCGGCGCCGGGGCCGCACGTCCGCCAGGCGCGCGCGCGCGTGCACGGCTGGGGGGACGACGCCCTCCGCCGCATCGAGTTCCACGAGCTCGACGTCCCCGCGTACGCCACCCCGCCGCCGGACCCGGCCGCGGCCTCGCCGTTCCCGACCCACCTCATGCCGATGGGCGAGGCCTTCGTCGCGGGCGCGCCCGCCCCGGTCGCCACCCTCCTCGCGAGGCTCTCCGCGCGCCACCGCCGCGTGGTCGTCCTGTACGATCGCCTCAGCTCCTTCGCGGCGCCCGAGGCGGCGCGGATCCCCTAACGGCGAAGCGTTCTGCCTGCAGTGCGTGGCCTCGTCCTTCGACGCCGCGTGGACGGACGCCGGGCAGCGGCTCCTGCGCGCGCGCGGCCTCGACGCCTCGCACCCCGTCGCCTGCATGCCGAGGGTGTTCGTCGAGTATATTGTCGGGACGCAGGAGGACGGCCAGAGTCCGGCTTTCGCCGGGGTAGTGGCGAACACGTGCCGCGCGATCGAGAGCGAGTTCATCGACTTGGTGGCCGGGGACCCGGCGTACCGAGGGAAGAGGGTCTTCGCCGTCGGGCCGATGAACCCACTGCTCGACGTGACCGCGCCGGCAGCGGTACAGAGTGCGCGGCACGAGTGCCTGGACTGGCTCGACAAGCAACCGCCGGCGTCGGTGCTGTACGTGTCGTTCGGCACGACGTCGTCGCTGCCGGCGGAGCAGATCGCGGCGTGGTGCACGAGGAGGAAGCCGCGGAGAGTAGGCACGCCAAGTTCCTGTCCGAGTTCACCGAGGAAACTCGAGGCATCGGCCTGGTGATCACCGGGTGGGCGCCGCAGCTGGAGATCCTGGCGCACAGCGCCACGGCAGCGTTCATGAGCCACTGCGGCTGGAACTCGACCATGGAGAGCCTGAGCCACGGGAAGCCGATGCTCGCCTGGCCCATGCACTCCGACCAGCCGCTGGTGGCGGAGCTCGTGTGCAAGTGCCTCAAGGCCGGGATCCTGGTGAGGCCATGGGAGCAACACGGTGCTGTGACACCTGCGGAAGCCATCCGGGAGGTGATCGAGAAGGTGATGGCACGCGACGAAGGTTTGGCGGTGCGGGAGAGGGCCAAGCAGCTCATGGAGTCCATTCGCGCCTCCGTGGCCGAGGGCGGGTCCTCGCGCAAGGACCTTGACGACTTCGTTGCTTACATAGCAAGATGAAAGGCGTATTTCACTATTTTCTAGTTTCATTTGAGTTCTCGTGGTGAATCGATATGGCATAAGAGAGTGCGAATAGTATTTGCCTTGTAAGAGTAACTTAGCTTTGGCAAATCATTATTAATGTAAATAAAACGCCATATTGGAAAAAAAAGAACTGTAATATGCTAATAGCGGCTCCAAAATTTGTATTACTATGTTCTGGGCTCACTATAAAAACTTCAAAATGGCGGAACTGGGTCGAGTATTGAGTCAGATTCACTATAAAGGCCATTCGCTTCGCTGAAAAAACAAACTGAAACACTGTTCCGGCTGATTCTCTGTGAGAGAAAAACACTGTTTCGCCTAAAAAAACAAGCTGCAAAAGATAGATTATAAGAGAAGCGAACAGAGAAAAAAAAACTTTAAAATGGCGGAGCCGGAATTGGGTGGAGTGTCTGCTATTTAATCGGCCACACCGGAGAAAAATCTTCAAAGTGATGGAACTAGGTCGGAGTGTCCACTATTTAACGGAACTAACGTCAGGGCCATACCAGAGAAAAACATAGCCTGTTACATTATTTATAGAATAGGTTTTTTATACCATGAATACATTACATTTGAGAAACAACCATTTCTTGAGAGAGTATATAGAGAGAAACTTATGTACACGCCTGAAAGTTCTTTTTAAAGGACGGCAAGAGTTTTGCCACTGTTATTATTAGACGGAGTGAAAAAAAGGGGGAAAAACATAGTACAAAGACAAAAGCCACTGAAATTGGAAAACTCGCTACTTGAAAGTTTATGATGAAAATTTCTGTAAAACCACGGTATTGAAATAGACAAAAAAAAGATCTAGTAACAAAAACCCTTCAGTTCAATGCATCATCCATGATTAAAGGAGAGAGGTCTACAACCAAATTTTGCATCCAATGGTTAAAAATTTGACAGATTTTAGGGAAGAAATCTATTGACAGATAAATAGCAATTCCTATCCAATGGTTAAAAAATAACACATTTTCGGGTTAGGAAATTGCAGGCTAGTTACACGAAAATGGGGCAACGAACTGATACAGCATTGGAATTCATTCGAAGGGAATATACAAGTACAGAGTGCATGCAAGGAAAATATAACAGGTACTGCAACCTCTCAAATACGGAGCACTACTTTATTAATACAACATTATTATATATTTTAGCGCTCAGAGCAATGCTCATACATGTTGTTATACAGTTTTCCAGCCAGATATTGTTTAAGAGCTCCCAAGCAGCTTCTTGATATCCTTCTGCAGAGATTATAGAAAAACATTACAATGATATCACAATAGCATACTAGTTAAGCGCTTTCAGCAAATGTGAATTGCGGTGCTGAAAGTTTACCTCAATGCTCAGAGGTGAAGTGGTTGGAGCATAGCGATCCACAACACGTCCCTCCTTGTCAACCAAGAACTTGGAAAAGTTCCACTTGATGCTGCTTGAAAAAGGCCACCCTTGCTAGATTTCAGAAACTTGTAGATGGGCGCAGCATTGTTACCATTGACATCAACCTGGCAAGCAATAAGCGATAGAAGTCAGTACTGCTCCATAACAGACCATTCTACATGGGTCTGGGTCTCTTAGGATCATCACACATCACTGATATCATCACATCATCCTGCTAAGTTAGATAACTGTATCTTTGCATTGAGACAGCTATATACTACTCCTAAGTTCTATGCATTACTCTGGTTGAGGAGAAAGTGAGAAACAGCTAGAAGACTAGAGCTTTACCTTGTCGAAGATGGGGTACTCAGCCTTGAACCGTGTGCAGGCAAACTGCACAATCTCCTCATTAGTACCAGGCTCCTGCCCACCAAACTGGTTGCATGGGAAAGCCAGGATTTCAAAGCCTGCATAGATCACAAATTGGCAATTGTACTTACCAATTAGCATCCCCAACAACCAGAATTGTTTAAATCGACGAACAACCGATAGTTGGATAAAATAATCCACTAATGCATATGGCCATGAGAACAGATAAGCATTACAACACTAAGAATATACAAAAGCAATGGATTAAGGACACACCTTGGTCCTTGTACTTCTCATAGAGCTGGGCCAGCTCGGTGTAGTTGGAGTTGGTTAAGCCACTGAAATAATCCGTCACAGTGCAGCAATTAGCAGTGTACAGAATAATGTTTTCTATACAATGCAAACAAAAGATGTCTACATCTGACAGTGAAATAAGTAAGCACAGATAAAACCAATATTTTATATCAAGTAGGAACAAATGGTTCCAGGTAGTAGAGGAAATGAACCACCTCATATTGATACAATTTTGCAATGGACCAAACAATGACAATAGTAAGAAGGTTAGGAAGACGCGAGGTTCTGCAGCTAATTTTCATACCACTGGGATGCGACGTTAACGATGAGAAGAACCTTCCCCTTGTAGGTGCTGAGGTCAACGTCTTTGCCGCTCGCATCCTGCACACGAGCAGCAAACAAAAAGCAATCATTAGACTCCCTCTGGCCTCTGCCAAATCAGAGGCTGCGGCATCTACTCTTCAAGAATCCGGCACAACAGCTAGCTAATGGTTAGCAAATTCAGTAATTTTGCAAGGCAATTAAACGGATCGACAGCAAAATTTACACTAAGTTCCGCGCGAATCAGGAACCACTGAAATCCGGATGCACAGCACAACGGAATCGGGCTTGCGGCTCCGAGGCACGCTAAGCAAGCGCTCCATGCGAAATATCACGGGGTCCTATGATCCTATCGCCTCTGGAATCTACGCACACGAACGTTTTTGGGGTTGGGAGGGCGACGAGGGAACAGGACTGACCTTGACGGTGAAGTCGTGGACGGAGGTGACGGACGACGCGGCGGCCATGCTGGGGCGAACGGCGGGCGGCGGCGGCGAACTAGCGGGGTTCGGGAGGAGAGCGGCTGTTAGGCGGTAGCGTGTGACGAAGCTGATAGCCGGGAGAGAGCAAAAGCGGCGGAGCTGAGGATGTGGGCCGAGACGACGAGACGTCACCGGCGGGGTGATTTATACAGCCAGGCCCATGGGGGATTGGGTGTTGGATCGGATAACGGGGGCCGTGACAGTTGAGACAGACGAAGTGTGAACGCCCCTACGGCATCGTGGGGTCCACGCGGGGTTCGGAGGGGAGAGCTCGTCGGCCAGGAGCCCGCCGCGTCGGCGTGTGAACGGCATCGTGGCGCGCGTTGGTCAACCGTCTCGGCTGCGGTCGTACTGTACGTACTCCTACCCTCCGATGGCGATGGGTACCGCCGGTTCGAAGAACCTACTTCACGGCTGCTGCGGGCCTGGGCTGAGACGGGCGGTGCTCACTCGCTGGGCCGTGGGCCTTCTTCATGTTTCCGCTCCCTGCAACCCGCGTACGGTTGGAACTAGTGTGAAACGCGCAGCCGAAAAAGTCTCGGCAGCTTCTGGAAGCACGCACCCGGGCCCTTGGGCCTGCGAGTGAAGGACCGTGTGCGGCCGGCCATGCTCGTGCGCGGTGGCCGTCAAGGCACGTCGATTCGTGAGACGCTGAAGCTGGCGGGCGCGCATGTCCGGTTGCCAGCATCTCGAATCGAAGAAAAAAAAAGCTCTGATTTGTATTTGGACGCGTTTCGACAATCTGAGTTTCTGCTGGAACTCGCGCGGCACGCGGCACGCGTGACAAATGTACTGTAGCTGGTGAGTTTAAGGCCAGCAGCGGCTTACGGCTGATTGTAGACCAAAAAAAAAAGTACTGTTGCCGCCCGGACGCCGATCGGATGCCGATCCGTCGGACGGTACTGTGCATCCGTGTATCCGTGTATAACATCTAATATACTTTTGAAACATTCATTCACACATACCGGCGCACCTGCTTCCACAATATGTATAACATCTAAAAGGCGGATGAACTTACACTAAAGGCAAAAATACTTAAAAACCATTGCAAACATACGTAACATCCAGATAAAATAATTGCACCATATATGTGAAAACATATGCGACATAAAGATAAACACACATTCAACATATATGTGCAACCATTTACAGCGTATGTAACATCCGATCTATTTTGCAACATCCATATGAAACACTTGTAAAATACCTCTAAAACGTCCAAAACATTTGAAATTCACACTTACAACATATCCGGTGCGGCCTCCTCCGGTCGTCGCATTGGGGGCACCATAAACGTAGTAGGAAAGCAAGGCCGGAGGGCTTCCGCGTCCAGGCGGCGGCAATGGGCTGAGGCGTGAGGCGGGCGGCGGGCGAGGAGCAAGCGATGGGGTGGGCGTCTGCCTTGATAGGCGTAGCAATGGAGAGTAGCATGGCGGGCGGCGGGCGGGAGTAGGAGCAGAGGCAGGCGGGCGGCGGGAACAACCTGGAAGGGACGAACGCAGGAGGTCTATTGGGCTGGTACGTGAGCCGAAGAGGTGTCGAGGACGGGACAGGTGCCTGTGTTGGAATATGATCCGAATTCTAACGTGGGTCTTGTGGGGACGCTGCGGTTTGGATTATGTTTATTAAGCGGATTTGTTTCGTTTTGACTACAATCAATCAAATCCTATAAATATATCTTGTAAAGCTGTGCAGGAAGAGCTCAGACGACTCATCGTATTCTCATGCGTTCGGTAAACTCTCCTCGTACGGTGAAGATCGCCGGTTGGCACCCGTGGTTTTTTTCGCAAGGGTTTTTCACATAAAAATCTATGTATCATATTCGATCTTTATTTGCATTGTTTGCTAACACCCTGCACACAACATTTTTGCAAAAAAAAAGGTGTTTTATTAGTAGCACCATGATTTTGTACGAGAGCAGCGAATGCATGGCCGCGCCTTCATTTCAGGTTGACGCTGCAACAACCAGAAAAGCAAGTTGTTTTGATGCCATCGGGCACCGGGTGCGTCGTGTGGGTCATGCAATGGAAGGGACCGCGCGGTTGGTCGTACGTCATCGCCACGTTTGGACTAGCTTATAAAACCATTTTTTTTTTGTGCAATGAACGAATATATTTTCTTTACATCAAATCGGTAAATATCTTTTCAGTAGCATGACTTCACCAGTGAAAGCAATTTCCAAACGAACAGATCGGATCATCGGTGGTGGAGGGATTTTTTTTTTAAAAAGTCACTCAACTTTCAGGGTTATGGTGTGCTGAGTGCCTGGGTCTGGGCTAAACCTAAAACGCATCTTTTACTGCTACCATTGGGAGCCACTCAGCGGCGCGCATTGCCATCCTATCATGATTTTCTTTCCGTTGTAAGTGCGTTTGTCACTTTGTTATGTGTTAACGGTTTGGTTAGGTAACTAACATTGGCCACAGAGGGAAACTACTGTCCAAAAACAACGTACCAGTGGGATCTATCATCACCGAGCACCAGCTTCTCTGCTTTTCACCGAATATGATCCCCATTGTCACCTCAAGAACCCTCCTGCTTCCACTTTGTTCAAGTGGCTTCCGTGAACATCTCTCCAGGTCCAGGTGGAGCAATAGCGTGTCAACTTGTTGGTGATTAAAGTTTGAAGACAATATATAGCATCCATCCTGCCACGCTCGTGCTAGTCACGTGAGATTAATTGAAAAATATTCAGATTCCATTTTCCTCAGTTTCAGATCATAAACAGTACAGTGCTATAAGTCCTCTTTTGGGAGGAAAAAAAAAAACGGTATAGATCGATACAACAATGCAGATCACAAGTAGTTACACCACCATTTCACTTAGCATCGCCGTATACTAGTAGCACATATGTATAGCTTGTTTCAGCGATTCTTTTTTAGAGTTTTGTTTCAGCGATTGTTAGCAGCCAACCTTCTCATTCCAGCAGCAGCAGTGCCAGTGATATAGTATGTGATATATACAGAGTAATTTGTTTTGGCAAATGATATGCCCGTCTTCCAGCTGTGTCATCAACTGCAAAAAATCTTTGGAGCCTTGTAGTACCTCAACAGCAGGGACCAGCAGACGACACTGACTGACGAAGCTGCCATCGCAGCACCGGCAACCCACGGCGGCAAGCGAAACCCAGTGGACGGGAAGAGCACCCTGCAGCAATCGGTATGCCGATGACGTTGTACCCGAGCGCCCAGACGTAGTTCATGCGTATGCGGAAGAAGGTTTTCCTGGACAGATCGATGGCGGTGATCACATCCTCCAGGTTGCTCTTCCTTGAGGACAATGTCGGCAGCTTCGATGGCAACATCCGTTCCTGCGCCGATTGCCAGCCCCACGTCAGCCAGAGACAAGCGCTGGGGAGTCGTTGATTCCATCACCAACCATCGCCACGGTTCTTCCAGACAGCTGCAAAATTTGGGTCAGAATAAGTTACATAACTGGATAAAAGCACTTTGAAAGTGACAAAACAAAACACGAAATAGGTCACCTGAAGTTCCTTCACCCTCTCAGCCTTCTGCTCTGGTTTCGCTTCGGCAATAATCTTTTCAATGCCAACCTCTTTGCCGATAGCATTAGCTGTCCCCCAGTTGTCACCAGTCACCATTATACTCTCCACATTCATGGACTTGAGGTATGATATCACTTCATGGGCATTTGGTTTATCGGATCAGATACAGAGATTATGCCCACAATTTCTTGGTCGATCGCCACAATAATCCCTGTCCTCGCCTTCTCCTCTTCTTCCATGAGAATTTCCGAAGCTTCAAGGGATATCAATGCCAGAAGACAACATAAAAAGCTCTTGTTGCCCACAATGACCTCCTCTCACTAATCTCCACCTTGACACCTTGCCCAGTTACTGAAATGAATTCCCTTGCTTCAGGCCAAATGTGGTTTTCTTCTGGATGCAACTTTTTCGCATGCTCCACTATTGCTTTTGCCATGGGGTGCTCACTGTTGACCTAAACGAGATAAGAATCCATGGAATCTCAAAAGGATAGACTTTTTTTTAATATGGAAATATTAAGGAAAAAAAAGATGATGACAAACATAAGAGTTGTACAACATACTTCTGCTGCAGCAGCATAGTCATAGAATTCACGCAAGACCATGTTTTAAGAAGCTTTGTGTCAACAACGACAGGCTTCCCAATAGTTAGCGTCCTGTCTTGTCAAAAACGATGCAGTCGACCTATTAAGTATCATGAGATAATTTAGCATTTCTGAACAATTCAATGACCTTTTTGAACTTGCACGTCCTCACAGTAAATGAGATTATTCCATACCTTCTGTGCACTCTCCAGAGCTTGCCCACCCTTGATCAGAACACCATGTGAAGCACCAACTCCAGTTGCAACCATCACAGCAGTTGGAGTAGCCAGCCCAAGGGCGCAAGGACAGGCGATCACCATAACTGATATCCCAAACTGGAGAGCGAGCTGAAAGCTATCCATGGATTGTGGTATCCATGAGTGAGGGTAGCTATGGAGCCTCCCGCGACGAACCATGCGAGCCAAGTAAGCATTGAAGAAGAATCACCTGAAAGCATGGAGCTGATTGCTCAGCATTTTCCATAAAATTAGACTGTGGATTGGATCAAATACAATACAATTGACCTTACCAGGGAACAAAGACTCTAGATATATGATCAGCAAACTTCTGGACAGGAGCTTTTGCCATTTGTGCTGACTCAACTAGCCTTACAATCTGTGCCCAGTGCACCTCTGATCCCACAAATGTAGCCCGGACATGGAGCACGCCATTCTCATTCACTGTCCCTCCAATTACAGTGTCACCCTTTCTCTTTGCTACTGGTCGCGATTCTCCAGTAATCATGCTTTCATTCACATGGCTCTGGCCCCAAATAACAAATCCATCAGAAGCAACTTTTCCACCTGGGACTACTTTGATCACATCGTTTTTCTGAATTAGCCTGCTGTCAATCTCCTTCTCTCCTACCACATTTCCTTCATTGTCATACATTAAAAGTGTTGCAGTTTCCGGTGCAAGATCCATCAGCTTGGCGATAGCCTCAGAGGTTTTTCCTTTTGCCAAGATCTCAAGGTACTTTCCAAGAAGGATAAATGATATGAGCATGGAACTAGTCTCAAAAAAATCAGTTGACATGTAATTCTCAGAGGTAGCTGCTCGAAGAACTGAGTAAACTGAGTAGAAGTAAGCCGTGTTTGTCCCTAGAGCAATAAGGACATCCATGTTCGGTGAGCCACGGCACATTGCCTTGTAAGCACCAGCATAAAATTTGCCACCGATAACAAATTGGACCGGTGTTGACAAAATCCACCGAAATAGTTCACCGATGCTCATCATGTTGATAACTTTTTTTTCCAGCCCATCCTTTAGCCAAGGGATATACATGAACACCATGGAGGTGAGAAAAACTGGAATGGTGAATATTAAGCTCCACATGAAAGACTGCCTGTATTGTTTGATTTCCCCATACCTATGTTGGCCCCTTCCATCTGCTTCCGGATATATTGATGCATTGACATTACCAAATGTGGCTGACTTGATGACTTCAATGAGGTCTCGGGGACCTGTCTGGTCAGGCTTGTATGAGATGGTGACCTTGTGTAGCTCAGAGTTGAATTTAATGTTTTCCACACCAGGAAGGGCCTCTACAGAGCTTTTCAATATCATTATCAACCTCTCGTCGAGAACACCATCCATTTGAGGTCTATCCTGCTCTGGTCTTCTCCTGTGGTCACTAGTATCGCTTCAAAAAGCCAGTTTGTTCCACTGCTTGGATTAGCTGGCTAGCAGAAATAATCCTGCGATCATAACGGATCTCAGCCTCTTCAGTAGCCAATGCAACTGAAGCTCTTTGAACTCAGGAGAAGCTTGCAAGGCAAATTCAACTGTGCTTGTGCAATACTTGCAGGCCATTCCTTTTTATATATAGCCTGCAAAGTAGAATATTCTTTTCCTTGACCTCCTCATCAATCAATTTAGCTTCAGAAACCAACATCCTCAATGGCTTCAGTAATTTTGTTCTCCTGTCCAAAAGGTTTACATGATCACAATCTCTTGAAACAAGTATTAAAATGATGGCTCATACTCTATAAAACATGGCAAAAAACATTAAACAATTTAAAATTTAAACAGGTTTCTATTAACTTTTGATCAATATACACAATAACAAAGTGATCAGAGAATTTCAGTGTATATACTGCGAATATATTGTTTGGATCAACTGAAAAAAGTGTAAACTTGGGTGTTGAATAATCCAAACGTACTGCACAAATACAATTCTCCTTGTGTGTGTAAAGGGCAACATGCCAAAATGGGAATATTCACAAGCAGACCTGTCACCTGCTCATGGTCAACGGAAAATAATAATTTAGGTATACTTATGCATCTACACCATATACCAATCTTCTCCCAGGTTCAAGTTAGTTCTTGTTGGGCTGGGATTTTCAGGCCTGTACCAGGCATGTTTTGTGAATTAGTTTATTCAGAAGACAGTTTAAGAATGGATGTCGTTCATTTTAAATATATTGGTTTTATATGTTTTTTTAAATCAAATTTTGTAATTAATCATCAAGCATTGAATTGTCTTTTTAGTTTCAGGAACCTAACAATTTTACAAAAGGGTATCCTTTTCCGATTCACAATTATTGAAAGGTGCTATTCGAAAAGGAGGCACTATCAAGGAAGGAAGTGCGCAAATACTAGATCAGGCACAAATACAAGTCCAAGCTATAAGGAGAAAAGTTTCTGCTCTAAGTGGGTTCATGACAGGGATACCAAATATAGCTTTGTGCTATACCTGAAGTCAAAACCAAAAAGAGGTCATGTACCTATATTTGTTAAGAAAAGACTTTCTTCTTACATAATATTACTCCATTCTTTTTTCTTTCTATTTTGCATCCTATGGAATCTGTCGCATGAAACATTCTAAAATTTGGCCACCACAATAGATGAAAACTGCATTGCTATTTTCTAGTTAAAAATATTTTCATACTCAAAACGTCAAATAAAACAGAATGGAGGAAGCACTTCAGTTTCTTGTTCACTATATTTAATTGTCTATAGATCTAAGTGTGCCAGCGTAGGTATTAATGATTGAAGTTACAAGATGATGAACGAATTGGCACCATCATATCATAAAAGATTATAAAATAGTTTTCAAGAAGCAACCACTAGGTTGAAATGTGAGATAAGAAAGTTTTGTGTGTCCCACTGGGGCAACCGCATGAGGCGTCTCCATGATGCAACTAGAGTAGGGCACTTATGCTTCATGAAAATGACTTCCATTAATAAAAAAATCCATAAAACAGAAAAAACTTTCATTCTAATGAATTTGAAAATGCTAGTGAAAAGAAAGTGTCGTGCCTTCCAAGTTGGCAGATCTTTTCCAAAAAGTTACCAAAATGATGGCAGACAAGATTGAAATTTTGCATCCCTAATACCACAGATGAAAGGAAGTAATTATGAGATGGGAAACGTAAGTGTCAAATTATTCTTGAATAACTCAATTTTACTTCCAACTAAACAGTCCAATAACCAATTGGGTGCATAGTGGTATTTAGAGGAATACCAAGCTAACAGATCAACAAATTGAAACTTACAAACAGAATGCAGGGTGGAACCGAATAAGAGGCATAAATTCAACAAGGAAAATCAATAATACGCATCAAACAACTGATCTAATGTCTGCACAGAAGCATATTAGGTAGGTCTTCAATTCTAGTTTCTAACTTTCTATCAGGAGTGCATTTGTATCTGAAAACTTGCCAGCAATATGCAGAAAGCCAGGAACCCTGAACCACCATCGTTCTTCCTTTTCTAAAGGATAGTCAACAGTTCAACATCAGAAGCAAAGCTGTCTACCTGTAGCCTTCTAAACTGAAAGGAAGCAAATAAATGCAAAGAAGGAAAAGCACTCTTTTCAGGTCCATTCCATATCAATTATTTCAATTAAGGCCTCGCGAATTATTTCTCGAAGTGTCAACATTTTAGGCTATTCACTTTGGAGGAATTTGAATTTGGATGGTTGGAGGAATCTTGGAGGAATTTGTGAGAAAAACACCATTAGGATGAAAAAAAGCGGATTAAAGGCGGGTTTAAGGCACGCGAACGGGCCCTTTGCCATAACCATTTGTTTTCTTGTCAGAGAGAGATCTCATGGGTGATCCGATTACAAATGTCTCGAGATGTCGAGATAGACCACGACGCCCACGTCAGCAGGTTGTAATTGGGAAAACTCTGCCCAAATGCATAAGTAATGTTTCTTCGTAAAAACGTTTCAATCTAGAGCTCTGCATTTTTTCAATGCTATCTTTGCCCCGGTTGTTTCATCCGGCTCCAGCACCCGTTTCTGGCCGTGCGATCGCAGCAGGCGTGGGGACCGATCGCATTGCAGTCTTGCAGAGGAAAAGGCAACCGCATGCAGCCGCGCGTCAGGAGAGGCAGGCGTGGGGACCGGTTTAGCTTGCAGAGAGAGAGGGGAAGGGCGTGGGGCCCATGCGCATGCAGGTCAGTAGGCAGGCGGAACATGCAGCCGCTGTGGAGAAACACAAAACCTAAATTTTTTTTTATATGTAGTATTAAATCACGTGAATCTTATGAGTACACGTAGTCTTAAATGTAGACGAAAAAAAAAGCTACTTGCATTAGGTGAAAATCATGAGACAAAACTTTCGAGCCTAATTAATCTATAATTAGACACTAATTCTCCAAATCTGAAACGAAAGTCTTCTGATGGCAAAAGCACCAAAATTTTGAATCTAAAGCAGGGCCTTATCGAGAAACGCAAAAAAAGCCGATAAAATGCTAACAACAGGCCACACCTAGAAGCCTATGCTGGTACTTTTTTCTTTTTATTTGTTATTTTGTATTTTCTTTTTCATTTTGTCTAATTTTGTTTTTAGTTTATCTTTGTCAATTTTAGTTTTATTTATTGTTTATCGATTTCAGTTTCATTATTTCAGTTTTTTTATTTTCAGTTATTTGAGTTTGTTTTCTTCATTTTTCAGTTTTCAATCAATTTTTTTGTTTCTTAGTTTCAGTTTTCAGTCAAATTTTTTTAATGTTTTTTTAATTTTATATAAGATAGTGTAAGCGAAACATTTAAGTTGCTGCCCTTTAATAAATGTGGTCAGATTTAGTAACTTTCAGTTGTCAGATTGATTGCCGATGTGTTTTGTTTGCCTGTAGTTTTGTTTGACCGTTGGATCTACATCATAGGGTTTGAAATTCGTTTGTTTTGTTTGCTCCAACAGTCGTTTCTGGGTCCTGGTAGAATCCGGTTTGTTTTTTATTTCTTGATTTCAGTTTTCAGACAATTTTTTTTATGTTAGTGTAAGCGAAACATTTAGTTGCTGCCTTTTAATAAATGTGGTCAGATTGTAGTAACTTTGGTTGTCAGATTGATTGCCGATGTGTTTATTTGGCTGTAGTTTTGTTTGACCGTTGGATCTAGAAAAAATCTAAAAGGCGGATCCTCCCTCTCCATCAAGAATAATGAACAGCAGTCCTGCCACCACGCCGCAGAACAGGAGCTCGTGTGGAACCTACGTTTCTGGCGTAACAGCGGTGGAAGGTATAAAAATATTACGGCCGCATAACATAGGGGCCTACGCTAAGGTGGGCAAAATATGGACACCCGAAGGGCCAGCGCGCGATCCTATCCTGTCTAAGCCACATCGTAGGGTTTGAAATTCGTTTTGTTTGTTTTGCTCAAACAGTCATTTCTGGGTCCCATAGAATCCGGTTTTTTTTTTCTCTGCTAACAACCGACTCTTTGGAGGACTAAAACAACCGACTATTACGTGAACAGACTCTTTTTTTACATTAAAAACACAAACAAAATTCACCAAGTACACGGACACAGGAGCTCACCGAGACAAAGGCTGGGCGAGAAGACGACCTGCGCGCGGCCCCAGAGGACGTCGACGGCGGCGTCGTGGATGCCCGAAAGCCGCTTCGGCCTTCTCCACCGACCCCGCGCACGCAGCGCAGGTCATCGGACACGGAGAACACCGCCACCTTCTCCTCCTCCTCCTGATCCCCCATTACCGACCGCAGCCTCCAGGTCCCCGTCTCCTCCGCCGCCAGCAACCGCCACTCCCTTCGGGCGCCGCAGCATTGACGGGTACCGCGGGCGCAGGGAGAGAGCGGTGGCTCATCTGAGCCGCCGCCGCCGTGGAAGCAGGAGACGAGCAGAACTCGGTAGTCGCCCCATTGCCGTGCCACCACTCCACTCGTCAAGCGCGCTGGGGGTTGGTTGGGGATTCCGTGTGATTTGGTTTGAACCGCGCCGGCATTTATAGAAAGCGGCGAAGGCCCAGCGTAAGCGAGCGATTGTGTGTGAGAAAACAGCTGATGAGCGTAGCGTATGGCAGCATAATTGCTGTGTGTCATTTCTGTTAAGGCAACCGAAATAGTGCAGCTGACTCATAGTCCACCATTGTGGAGTGTAGTAGGCAGCGCTTGGCTCGCTACTGAAAGTTGAACGAATTAGTGATAACTGATAGGTGAATATATTCCCTACATTTCAAGGCATTGCCTGTAACTGTCATGCGATCTAGATCAAGTAAGGAACAGGTCTAATTTGAAGAAATATATCTGCAAGGCAGAGCTGTTCAAATAAAAAAAACGAGAAGAGACTCAATTTGAAAGGATGGTTGGCTTTATGACAATCCTTTTTACAGTCTGTTTCTAGTTCT